TTGTGTCTCTTGGGAGAAAAGCAAGCCTGTGTAGTCATGGGCAAGCTGCGCAGATCAAGACCACCCCCAGAAGAAGGGAATGGTTAGCTGCTTCTGCGTGTTCTGTACCTAGAAAAACCCTGAAAACGGTCACCATAAATCACAATTGACTTGTTTATATACAATTAATTAATTGGTTCTATACATGAGTAACTACCAGGGTAGTTCTGGACTAAGTGTGAACCACACTTTCTATGAAAATTTAAATTCTGGCAGCGACACTGTGCTAGTTAGGTTTTTGAGATATCTTCAATGACCACTCTACATGCATTACAGCAGGGGTCTCAAACATGCGGCCTGGGGGGCATTTGCGGGCCCCCAGATGATAGTTAGCCTGTGTAGTCATGGGCAAGCTGCGCAGATCAAGACCACCCCCAGAAGAAGGGAATGGTTAGCTGCTTCTGCGTGTTCTGTACCTAGAAAAACCCTGAAAACGGTCACCATAAATCACAATTGACTTGTTTATATACAATTAATTAATTGGTTCTATACATGAGTAACTACCAGGGTAGTTCTGGACTAAGTGTGAACCACACTTTCTATGAAAATTTAAATTCTGGCAGCGACACTGTGCTAGTTAGGTTTTTGAGATATCTTCAATGGCCACTCTACATGCATTACAGTAACCCAAGCAGGTGACTTAGTTGGATTTTTTTTTCAGTACTGTACCTGGGCGGCTTCCTTGGGCTCTTGCTCCACTTGGCAGAAAATCTGATGTGGCCCAGCCTCACCCAGACTCTGCCTCTAGTGGCCCCCAGGGAAATTGAGTTTGAGACCCCTGCATTACAGTAATCCAAGTAGGTGATTTAGTTGGATTTTTTTTTCAGTATTGTCCTTGTTTTCTGTACAAAGTGGATTATAATCTTACAAGACAGTAAATCAGCTTCTTTGTCGCTAGCTCCAGAGTGTTGTTTACAAGATGTCTCCAGCTCTTTTAACACTGCTGGTTTCAGACACACGTCTTTCGTTCACTTCTCTTCTCTGCTACGCAGTCACTTTTCCCAAGATGCGATGCTTATCTCCTTCAAAGGAGTTGAAAGAGAACTCTTAGGTATCAGAAATGAATAGCCAACAACAGTTAGTGCTCATGAAGACCAAACAACCGTTCTGAATGGAGCCTTGGTCTAAGAGAAAAATAGTCAGAAATTATAATATTGCTTTTATGACCCAAGGATGTCTTAGGGGAATCTTTGGTCTCTCAGAGCAAAACCGCCTCCTTAAAGCTCCCTAAGGTTTGCTCCTGTCCACAGAAAAGTTCAACACTTGTTCATTCTGTCACATGAGACTCTCTGCTTTCCCTCACTTGGCTCATTACATCCAAAGCTGGAGACTCCTGACTCCGTTTTTGGAAGTGCTATGAGTCCAGCTTGAATTTTAATCTGCCTTTTACAGGCGCTATCATAGCGTTGAACCCTGTCCCCAAAATAGATTCTCACTTCCGATAACTCCTATAAAGAACAGACTAAATCCCAGAATGGATCCACAGAACCCCTTGAATACAATCACCAGCCTCCAAGACAAGACATTGGCCTCAAGACCTAATGATCAGAGATGAATATAATTGATATTCTGGCTTGGATTGTCTCTTAATTTTAGAAAAAAAATATTTTTGGACTACAGTTCCCAGAATACACACAGGCTGTGTGATTCTGGGAACCATAATCTAAAAATGAAATGTAACTGATTCTAAAGTGCATGCATTTCCCCCAAATGTACATACTGTTCTAAGTGGGCTCTAGATCAAATTAAGCTTGGATTCTTAATGAAAGCATGATTCAGGTGAGGCTATTGTACTTTGGACCTATTGTAAAAAGGAAAAACTCACTGGAAAGACAATATTGCTAGAAAAGTGGAGGATAATAGGAAAGGAAGAAGACTAATATGAGATCGATTGACTCAGTAAAGGAAAGTACTCTTCAGTTTGTGAAATGTGAGCAGGGCTGTTACCCATACGACTTTTTGGAGGTCATTAATTCAGGAGGTAGCCCTGCGTGGAAAGCAAGTTAACATCAAGAAGTTAGCATCAAGAAGAAGGCATCTTTTCTCCTATAAACTGAAATGTATTTTTGCTTACTTTTCAGCAAAACGTATTTTGAATAACTTGTATTTTTTTAAATATAATTATCATTTCATGCGTATTTTTTCTCCAAAATAAACCTCGACTCTTACAAATGCTCAAGTTTCCAAGGCAAGTCTCAAGAAAACTGAGATGGACCCTTCCTTTGAGAATCTCATTTCTAAGACAGCTCATGTCAATCCTAAGTACAGTCCATCAAACATACCTTTCCCACTTGGTTTGGAAAAACCTAAACGGTGTTCCCTACATGCCGTATCCCTTGTGGACAGCTTCTTAATTCGTATTTATGGATCTGTGATAGGCATGTATATTCTTATGCTCTGCCCATTCCTTGAGTCATCCAAGATTGTTCCTGATCCTGAGCTTTTAAAAAAGAGGGAAAAAACCAAATTCATTTAAACTCTACTCAATGTAGCCATATAGAAATGACATTTATATCTTAGCAAGTAGCATGCTCTCCGCTGAAAAATGTTCAAAAAACCAACAGTATAACTAATGAATGATACACTTTACTTGGCAGAAAACACATTATGTTTGTGATCCCTGTGTTTCATTAGAAAGTGAAGGCATTAAATACTTTACCTATGAGAAATTGTTCAGATCAGTTCTCCTACAACTTTTTTCTGGCTACTTTTCCATCCACACCTTTTGTATTTATTGGCCAATATCTGCATCACAGCTCATAATTAATATCTGGATTTGCAACAAGGTACAGATTATGTAGTAATAAACACAGTTTATAGCCAAATAGCTCTTGGTATAAAAGTGTATTCCATACCATTAAGAAAAGTTTCTGGGGAAGCTGCAATTATGCAGTCGCAATGACAACGATGGTGGAAATGGCTGATTTTAATTGTTCTCTTCATTGAACATTTATTCATTTAAGAGGACTGCTTCTCTCTCTGGTTTTTGGTCTTCGTTTGGTGCAATGCAGAGGGAAAAACATTTGCTTTGACATATTTATTTTGTTACAGTTATTCCTTCAAGAGAGTTTCTCAGTACGTCCTGATATTTTACAGTTTGCTGTAGAAGGAAATTTATTCTTTGGACAGGTTTATTCTTTCAACGTCTCCTCATTTAAGTAGGGCTTCAGTCTACAAGGCTATTACTAACAATCCTCTAGGAAGGGGCTCATCTTTGGCTGAGTAACAAACAAGGCCATCAGCGTACATACTTCAAATCAAGGCTGTGCTGTAAATCATCTGAAATGACAGATGAATAAATAAGGTACAAACCTTACCTGCTCCAGGAAGTAAGCGGGTTCTTTTAAGAATGTAAAAAGAAAGAACTCTCTGATTTCATATCTCTCACTGTACCAAAGGAAGAGTAAAGAAGTCTGAGGGTACTGATGCTACTGGTGGTACTGGCAGTGATAACTACCGTATTTTTCTGTGTGTAAGACAATACTTTTGTCTAAAATCTTTAGACTAAAAATTGAGGGTTGTCTTATACACGGAAGTAAGTTGAGAAGCAACTTACAGCAAGAGGAGAAGGGGACGACAGAGGAGGAGATGGTTGAACAGTGTCATTGAAGTGAGCAACATGAATTTGACCCAACTCCGGGAGGCAGTGGAAGACAGGGGGGCCTAGCATGCTCTGGTCCATGGGGTCACAAGGAGTCAGACATGACTTAACAACTAAACAATAAGTTGAGGAGAGAACAAAACGGCACATACATTGCCCCTGTAAACAGGCTGCCTCAAATCATGAAGCTTAGCTTCTTAGAGTCAGGAGACTTAGCTTCCTACAATCACGAGTTTTATGGAACTGATGTCAGCTGATGCTGAACAAACCAATTGGAACACACCTCATTAGAGGTGGCCCCCTTTGGTAGTGTTCATATTCAAACGGGGACTCGTAATGTTTGAGCGTTCTGATCCCAGAGGCTGAATACTCAAAGCTACGTTTTCTTAATTTGGGGTTAGAAAAGTGGGGGCAGCATCTTTTACACGGGGGCATCTTATAGGTGGAAAAATATGGTGAATTTAGGTAGCTGGCTGGGCTGCTCAGTGAGTTGGGTACCTGGCTGCGTAAACAGAGGTTGGGAGTTCAGTTCTTGCTCTCTCAACCTCTGCGTAAACAGAGGTTGGGAGAGCAACCAACCTGGGAAACCCTGGGCAAGCTGTGCAGTCCCAGAGGGCCACCAGAAAAAGGGAATGATAAACTGCTTCTGAGTACACCTAGAAAACCCTGAAAAGCATAAGTTGGAATCAACTTGACAGCATACACTTATTGCATAGTTGGGGAGCATTAAGCTCTTGAGCCAAATGAGGATTTCCTGGGGTCCCAGTCCAAAGGATGTACAGATGGATACACTCCTTCTCCGTGGTATTATGCTTCTCCACTCGTAAGAGCATCTGAGTGGATTTTCTGGGGGAAATATAAATATATCATGGGAATGGGGCAAATGATCCAGGGCAATGTGGTTTTTGAGCAACCCCTGCTTTATGGTGTGCTTCTAGCTTTATTGCCTTGCAGTCACCCTTTCTACAAGCTTGCCATAGCCATTCGCTTGACTCTACTGGGTCTTCATTTAAATTTGATAGCTACAATAGGAAAGCAGCTTTGTTTTTGTAATTTTAAAAACAAGCCAGCGTTCAACATAGCCAACACCTAAGTAATGTATTTTGCCTACTCCATACATTTTCCATTTAAATCTTCTTGCAGTACTATGATTAATGGGCTTCACTGCAGGTTTCCTCAAAACTGAGTCGCAAAATGCAAGCAGGAACAATGTGCGTCTTTTAATTATTGTTATTTTTTGACCTGATTTGCCCAGGGCACTTCATCTTCTTGACAAGGAGACGATGTCTGGGGAAAACTCCCTAACTTGGATATTTTTGTTTCTTTTTCTCTCCATCTCTTCCTCTCCCTTTGTTCACAGTTCCAAAGACAGCTCCTGCTAATGTAAGTGGCAGAAGCGGAAGACGGCATGAATTAGTAATAGCATGGGAGGTAAGGAAGTCTTTTGATTAAAGTCCTTGTTTCATGTTGGTGTCTTTGAGGGCAGGCTATGGAGGTCTGCACTGGGGTTTTCGTGCAGCAAAGCCTGTCAAGAGGGGGACACAAAAGACCGTTTCTTAAACATCTGTTAAAACCTCCCTGTGGGTCACAATTTAATGTGAGGAATAAGTGCCGGTAGGGTAGGAGACCTATCATTCACAACAGAATTCCAAATTAATTTTTAGTTTCCTTCTCCTTTCAACATTAAATTTAAGCCACAGGTCAGCTTTCAGCACCAGCATGTTCAAGCAATTAGGGCAGTGATGACAAACCTGTGGCACGCGTGTCACAGCTGGTACGTGGAGCCCTTTCTGCCGACACACGAGCCATAAGTCGCCGGATTGCTACTCCCCCCCACCCCGGTGCAGCCTAACTTGAGAAGGCGGCTGCAGCTCATGCCCAATGGTGGGGCGGCAGCAAGGAGGTGCAGGCGGACACGCAGAGACAGGGGTACGACACCCCGATCATTTACAGCAAAGGGTGTTTTGCTGTGTGTTGTTTTAAAAAGAGCAGTGGCAGGAAATGGGGACACTGCTGAGGGGACCTTTGCCGAGCAAGGGAGAGGGACTGGGAGAGAGGGAAGCCTGGTCATGGAGAGGAAGAGGAAAGAGACAGATGCTTCCCCCTCCTGCTGCCTCATCCACAGCAGAAAGGGATTGGAGGGCTTCCTTGACCGGAGGAAGCCGCGTGCCCTAAAAAATAAGCTCCACCAGAAGCATTCAGGCTCTCTCCCGGGGCGACGCCGATTCCCTTCCTCCCGCTCGAGCCAGGACAGACCTCCCAGTGCCCAAGCCAAAGCGGCGGCAGCAGCAGGCGGGGCAGTGGCAACTCTGGGCAAGATTGACAGGGCCTGCAGCCCACCGAGATTAGAGGAGCTGCGATCAGATGCCCTGAGGTTGAGGCGGAGCGTCTGTCAGCTGTGGTGCTGGTGCTTCGGCAGGCTGATCAGGAGCAGTTGGTGCTGGCAGTAGATCCAGAGTGGGGTCTTGAGGGACCTCCATGCCGGGATTCCCCCTTACTCTGCCACTTCCGATTCCGCCACTGCCACTTCCAGTTCCGCTGCAGTGGCAGCACACCGCCTGCTGTTTTTTCCCCCCAGTTTGGGCACCCAATCCCAAAAAGGTTTGCCACCACTGAACTAGGGCCAAACCAGGAGAGACCCATGGGATCAGTTGCTGAATAGAGATGGGCATGAACCAGTTCATCCCAGTTCATCCCAGTTTGTAAAGGCTCTTGCTTATGACTGAGAGATTAACTGATGAGGTGGGAAAAGCAAGCAAGCAAGCTGGGCCTGATGAGTGGTTGGTTGAGCCAGAGCAGCCAGGGAAGGGAGCAGCAACACCCATGCTGCTGCCTTTACAAACTAGGATGAAGCAAGATGGACCAGTTTGTGCCCATCTCTGTTGCTGAATGATACGTTAACAATTATGTAAACCCCCTTGATTAAATGGATCTACTGCACTTGGTAGTGCTATGATTTGGATTTGGCCTCTCATATCCATGGAGGTTCTCACATGAATTAAAACCCTGGTTTTACCAAATTCCATTTCTCACAGAAAATCTCCACAGATAGAGAAGGTGGCTCAATTATTGGCCACATGCCGAAGGGTGACAGGAGAGCACTCCTGCTGAACCTGGTAGGAATGTCATGGGTGCTAGAGATCCAGTGGAAGGATCTGTTTCTGGGTGGGGTACCAGGTCAACCAGAGGCATATAGTCTGGTGGATTGGCAGTGCAAGTTATACATTACTCTGAGTTATGCCCCATTGAGTACAGTGAGCAGGAGTGGGCAATGTGTAGTCCTGCAGATCCCTTCCTGTTCGATCATCCCACATCACAGTCCAACAACATCTGGAGGGTCACATGTTGGCCATTCTAACCTAGGAATAAATCCTGTTGAACTAATTCGAACTCCTAGGACTCCCACGCATTAGCAAATACTGGTGGTATTAGAAAATAGCAGCCGGGTAGGTAGGGCTTGTTAGCCTAGGAAGGCAGCCCATCTGGGAGAAGGAAAACTCCTACTTCAAACCTCCACTGCCTTGTGGCTATATCCACTGATGGAAAAGGCTTCAGGAGTCAACCTCGAGGCAAAATCCAGAGTCGGAGTCCCGGAGGCAGTTCATGTCGTTCTGTCAACTCCTGCGACGTCGCTAGAACCAGTTGTATTGGCTTTTGCCTTTCCATTGGACTATTTTAGCAATGTGGAGAGAGGGGATTTGCTGCTTGGGTAACAGCCTATCCTCCATATTATTTTACCCATGCTTCATGCTCTGGAGAGGACACTCCAGCTTCGCATACAGCGTCAAAGTCCTCCATACAGAGCACGTTACCATAGTCTCTCGAGACTGAAGGATGCCTATGAAGAGAGATCCAGTTTTAATTGACACTTTCAATCAGAACTCTAAAGGGTTACTCCTGGGGAGAACAGTTCTTAGAAAGTTCAGCACATGGAAAGGAGCAAATTTGGAAGCACTTGTAGTTTGAACTGAGAAGATGCCTCTGCTCAAAATTTCAAGGGGTCGGCCCATGCTCCTATTATGAGCCACTGTTACTAATTTGGACACAACATGGTTCATCTTTTTTGTTTATTTGTTTGTTTTAGATGCCACCTCTCTCCTCATAAGGGGACTCAAAGTGGCTTCGAATATTTATTTGCTTAAAAATTCAATGTAGGGGATGGAAAGTCGGGCAAACTAGGATTGTGACATGAGGACTGTGACTAGGACTGTGACATGATTTCACTGCCCCCACCCCAGTGCAATCATAATTGAAATGAGATTCTTTCTTCCTCTCTTGTATTTCTATGGAGGGGAAGCTTCCATTTCAATTGACAAAAAATGTCATGTCTATATTGGCCTGGAGTCCTTGTAAAAGGCTTGCAAATTGAAGTAGAAATGTACTTAGCACTTTATATTAATGAAGCCTTTGAGAATTGTGCAGAAAAGTGATGCTGTCTGTTGGAACTCACTTTCTAACTTGTTTGATATATAGCCACCCCATTTTGAAATGCCAGGAAATAATTACAGATATGCCAGAATTTTTAAGAAAAAGGAAAAGGAAAGGACAAAAGGACCTTCCACAAAATCTCACCATATTAATTTTACTTTTTTTTTCTTTTCAAAAAGCAGAATGCCATTTAACACACAGATGAGTTCTACTCGGATGATGGCACATATTCTGTTTTCAGAGAGGTCTCTGGATATAAATGGAATTAAATGAAAGAAACTGATTGGCCGGCTTCATATATTTTCTTGGAAATTTTCCTCCCTTTCTGTGGCATAATTGGAGCTAAAAATAATGAATGTATATAATGCTGGCCTTTGTGTTTAAGCATGTTATTTTCTTTGTTTTAAGCACATCTTTTAAAAATAGAATCATCATTCTAAAGGGGAAAAAATAATTTTCTCCTTTACAAAAAAAAGCTAAATTAGAGCAATGTATTCTCTCTTGACATGCTTCACCGGAAAAATCTGTAAAGTTCAGTTTCTGTGAAATGTATTTTCTTGTTCTTTTCCTCCTGCTGTCTTCTCAGAGTGGCTAAGCCAGAGTCAACAGAAAGGATAACAATGATTACCATGCCTTTTACATATGCTAGGACAGCTCAGCCATGGGGATACCTCACCCAAAATTTCTGTGGGAGTGACCCCCTCAATCCTAATCACAAACTGCTTATATAGGGAGATGCAAACTTTCAAATAATGGTTGTAATTTTTTTAAAAATACAATATATTTCTTCATAGCAGGGAATCCTGTGGCCACACAGCACATGTGCCTGTTGAGTCTACTGCAAGGGGACAACTCTGCTCTCCTTTCTGACATCACTTTGGGCTAAATGCAGCTGTTAGTGCCATCTAGATTCATTTCACTGAACCAATGGAATTTTGAAAAGCAAACATGTTGGGAAAGCTCAGTGGATCTCCTCTGATTGAAATGAACAATTAGATTCAGCCTTTTATGTTTGAACTTGGCTGACGCTTCAAAAAGATACCTTCTAGCAGAGGCTAGTCTTCTGTCAGCCTTCAGCCTTTCAAACAGATGGAAATCCTTAATAAAATAGGGCACATATTACATAAGCTCTATTCACATTTAATTAATAATAAGTCCCTGTGAATGGGACTTCCCTCTGAGTAAGCTTGCAGAGGAAATGGGATTACTCTGTTTGTATATATCAGGCAAGAGAAGAAACACAACAGAGTCAAAAACAACAAATATAAAATATATTGTATTAAAAATATATTTGCATAGTTTTTTAATCTATCATCATTTCTAGCAGAAATTCTCAGAAGGGTAGTCTGTATTGCAGCAAAAGCAACTTTAACACTAGCAAATGTAAGTCAACAAATGTGAGACTTCATTCATTTCAATCCACTTCTTCAGACAAAAAGTGCAAGTGGATTGTAATCCACAAAACTCACACGGAAGTGAATTTGTTTGAAGCGTCCCACGGTGCCTCTGTTTTTTTTTTGTTTTGTTGTTGCTGCTGCAGAAATAGCCTAACAAGAGTACCTCTCAAAACTTGTGGGTGAAGGGCTCACCAACTAATGACCTTTGAAAGACTGCTAATGCCCACAATTAAGATCTGTATTTGTCATTTTCCAAGAACTGTTAACCCATAACAACGATGTTAAAGCCACAACTGGGTAGATCTTTATTTTCTTTCTTTCTTTCTTTCTTTCTTTCTTTCTTTCTTTCTTTCTTTCTTTCTTTCTTTCTTTCTTTCTTTCTTTCTTTCTTTCTTTCTTTCTTTCTTTCTAAACTTCTTAAACTTTAAGCCACTTTGCAGGTTTGGTTCCAAAGCTTGCATTAGGTGTGTTCCCAAATACAATCTCTGGACCTCTACTGGCCAACTTCATCATTGTAGTGTTTAAATATGTTGTAAAGCTAAGATTAGACTTGTGCAGGCAACCTTCCATTTCAGTGTAAATGTACGATGCCTGAGGAATCATGACTGAACCTGTCTTTCTTCAGCCAGTCTCCGAAGAGTTTCAGAATGGAGAAGGCTTTGGTTACATCGTAGCTTTCAGGCCCAATGGAACAAGAGGCTGGAAAGAAAAAATGGTCACATCTTCAGACGCCTCCAAGTTCATCTATAGAGATGAAAGTGTGCCTCTCTTGACTCCATTTGAAGTGAAAGTTGGTGCTTATAACAACAAAGGAGATGGCCCATTCAGCCCAATTGTCATTATCTGTTCTGCCGAGGGAGGTGAGTCTGTACATCTTATTAAAATGATTTTAATTTTAAATGTACTTAACAGGATGTAAGATCAGTCAGCAAGACTGAGTAAAATATGAAGAAGGCTGGAAGTGAAATCTGCTGCCTAGATTCCATAACGGTGATTAGACATGTGAGATCTGATGCATAGATGGAAGGAAATCCTTCCTTCCAACTTCCCAAATGGATTTACCTCATGATGCAAGCTTGAAATCAAGGTTGGCATCATGGGACACATAATGAAGCCCACTTCCTGCAGGAAGCCTGTTCCCCAACCACAGACAGCCCCTAAGCCGTTAAGTTCAGTTGTTCTTGCAGTTCCTGCCTATTCACCTTTCCAAGCATGGAAGTAAGCAATGGCAAAAGTGAGTAAATCAGGGTAGGAAAACTTACAAAGGCAAATTTTACTGTCCCAGTTGTGGTGGGTGGCATCCTCTTCTGAACCCCTACAAAGAGGTATGCCTCATTCAATAGGATGGGGATTCCAAATGACACCCCCTATAATCCAGGGATCAGGGAACATTTTTACCTTTTACCCCCTAAAAATGTATATACGCCAAGATTACCCCCTTGAAAGGAAGGATCTCGGCCACACATGGCCAGTCGAGCCTCGCCACCCGGGCCGCCGCCACCGCCTGGCGGGGCCGTGCTCAGTCCTTGGCCCCGTGGGGGCGGCTCCCTTTCTCCACTGGAGGGCAGCTCCTGGATGGCTGTTGAAGAGCAGCAGGTGGTTCACCCTCCAGGGGCACCTGACACCACCTCCCGCTCCGGCACCAGTTCCGGCGGCTGCTCGCTGGGGCGGCCGCGGGCCTCGCCGTTGAAGAGCCATGACAGCTGCCACACTGCATCTCTGGGCATAATTTTCACAGTACCTGACACAGGCATTCCCTTTCTGCATGCAAGATATGGGCAGTGTGCATCCTATAAGCCACACAGCCCCCCCTTTGCCATTTGTGTAGTGTCCTGGGGACTTATAACCACCTTGAGACAGCCTCCACACACACAAAAAAAAACACTTTCCTTGTAAAAAAAAATCCCCTTTAGCTTGCTTACAGTGGGATCTGCAGTCCCAGAAGGCTCCTAGAAATGTGGTCCCACTGATAAGAAAGGGTTGCAAGGAGACTGCAGCATTTTTGCTGCCACAGGAGATTTGATGCATGGCAAAGATGTGTGGCCCGCAGTGGGTTCAGGTTTGCCAGCACAGTTGTTCATCTCTTCCGTAGGCCATGACTCCGATCCAGATCAGCTCCCACCACCACCACCACAATGCAAAACAGTGTCATGTAGCATGTAGTTTATTCTTTATTGTTAGAACGTAGGCGGCCAATTCTGTCTCCACTACTGGTTGCAAATTTTTCGGTAATTTGATATAGTCCATATTTGCCAAGCCATGCATTATCAGGACAAGGGGAGCTGGTAAAAGAAGGAAAACCTAAATAGAGACATATTGACTCAGTAATGGAAGCCATGACCTCAAGTCTGCAGGAGCTGATGACAGGTCTTTTTGGAGTTCACCAATTCATAGAATCACCTTAAATCTGAGGTAGTTTGGTGACACATAAAAACCAATAACAACATATAGAGAGACATACAAGTTGTATACTAGTTTGACAGATGGTAGCCACACATGATAAAGCATGGGAAGGTTAAGTCACTTTAATTTTATCATGATCAGCATGTTTCGCCACTTGTACTCCCATTAGGAAATATTGATTTTATCTCACCATTTGAAATAAATTTAAGTGACATCCAAAGTTCTATTTAGGACCTTCCAGAATATGCCCTTGAGTTCATTGGCAGCAGTCCAGTTGCTTAAATCCCACTAATTTTTCTTGTATACAAGGTAGCTGCCATTTTACAGAACTGGAAGTAGATTCATCTTCTTCTTTTTTTTCCTCTGCTACTATTTTTGTAATTGTCACGTTCCCGCCTGTCCCTTGGTTGTTTCATCAATCGAAGGGCACAAGCTGCGTGTCATGTTGCTGCCACCAGTTGATTACATCAACATTGTTTATTATTAATCACAGATGTCCAGGCAATGTGTCATTTTAAAAAGTACCAAATAGTTTATTATTACAGGTGATGAAGGTACAATCAATGTCATTAACTCTTAACAAAACATCATACTTCGTCCACTCTCAACCCCGAACCCCCTCTATCCACTCCAAATTCACAAATCTCGCAATCTCCCAATCTAACTCCTCCCCCTGCAGAGATTCTTATATCTCATGATTCCGCCTATCCAGCACTCTCATTGGTCCATGCATTAATGTTCATGACCTGGGCAGACGCCACAGTAATATTCCAATTTCAGTCATTCCTAATAATCAAAGCAAAGTGTTCTGCTTATATTCCACCCGGTAGCGCTTAAAGCACTCTCGGGGCAGTTTACAACATAATTATCAGGCTACAAATCCCACTGGATCCTTAGTTTTACCATCCTTGGAAGGATGGAAAGCTGAGTCAAACCTGAATCCATTGAGACCATACTCAGGTCGTGAGCAGAGCCTTGGCTGCACTACTGCAGTTTAACCACTGTGCCACAAGGGTTGCAATTAGTTTGCTGAAACAGTTTCACCAGATTCTGTCCCCTTTGCATCGGAGGCTGACTGTACAAATACAAACTATACAAATGATCTCCGACTACTTAGTAAATCAAGCCTATCACATGGGAAAGTAGCTTTTCTTCCCCCTTCCTGGATATATCCTCTAAATTCAGGTATTTACCCAAATGCAGGCCTGAAGGCATGAATGTCAGCCACTTGTCCTCTTCTACTCATTCCCCCAAAGCTTGTATACTCTCACGAAGATCTTGAGTGGAGATGGGCATGAATCGCTTCATGCTGGGTCGTTGCATGTTACCAGCGTTCCCTTTTCCCACTCCTCTGGTTGGCTCCCCCACTCATCAGCCAGTGCGTGCTGTTCCTCTCCTCCTTTTTGTGCAGCCACCCCATCACAGCAGGAGTGTGTGCTTCCCTCCTCCACCTCCTCCAGCAGCTGGCCACTCAGACCAGGAGTGGGGCAAGGATTCCTACAGTGCTGTCTTTGCATGGCCAGCTGCCGGAGGAGGCAGCACACCCTCCTGCTGAGACTGGATGGCTGTGTGAAAAGGAAGAGACAAGCAGAGCATGCCGGCTGGTGAGTGGGGGAGCCGGATGGGGAGAGGGAGGAGGGAACACATAGCACCTGTGGTGCCATGTTGATGACTCACAATGACCCAGCACAAACTGATTTGTGCCCATCTCTAATCCTGAGGCTACTTAAAAAGAGCATTGCCCTAATACAGATTTTGGTATTTTATTTACACGCGGTACAGATCCCTTTGCCTTTTTTGCATGTCTTTGTTTTTATGTTTGAATATGAAATGACCTGATGACTTAGCAACTACTGTATGCCTGCTGTTTTTTGATTTATTGCTATTCAGAGGCTGAGATTGGCCCTTTAAGGGCTATTGTGAGCCTCCACAGGTCAGTTTCTGGCCTCAAATGGCTTTTTAAATTTTTAACGAAGGTTATATTGGGCTAAAACCAGACCCAAGGAGCCTTCGTAGCTGTTTGGGGGCTGTGCATTGCCCACACCAGTTACCACACATGCATATCCTTCCTCTTTCCCATCAGCAGCAGGAGCAGGAGCAACAGCAGGCTGTTATTTTGAAAACTCCAGCTGCTCTGCTACTATATTACAAAATGTGCCATTTATATTCATGAACATGGAAATGCCTTTTAGAAGTTTTAATCTTACAGATCCCTTCTTCCATCAATCAGGCTATCCATTTGCTACCTCTACAGTGAGAGAGCCATTGGGGAGATAATTAATATCTCTATGAGTAAAGGAAGGCATCTTTATCAAACATAGTTCACACCGATCTGTATCTCATTAGCATTCTCTCCCAGTAGATTGTCAGGAGGGAAAACTATGGCTAGGACAGTGCATCTTCATCACAGGGTCCGCCCAAGACCTTTTCCTGCTGGACTGAGAGCACCAAACAGTGTCTCCACCCACCCAATTCAACTCATATTGCGCCACCTCAACCACCTTATTTTGAAAGCTGAAGGGGGGAGAAAACACATCAGAAGCATCATGCTTCAAAATAAAATGTAGCAAAAATGAATTGTCGTAAATGAAAATGTGCTCCCTTTTCATAGCACTTCTAATCAGTTACCGGAGCCAGTCACCTCATGCCTAATGATAGAGCGGGCTCTGCTAGATGAAGATGCTGAAGAAGAAAAAGCCCACACAAGACGGCCATTTTGCCACACATTCGCACTTGTTACAAAAAAAGTCTCGTTCTGGCAGTATGCTGTAGATCAATGGCAAGGTTTTTACTTGAAAATTGCTGTCTCAGTGAACCACTTAATGTAGGGGGGATACTCTATTGATCAAATTGCCTACTTAACTCATATATATTTTATTCTTCACAGGAATAAGCATTGTATTGTGAAAATAATAGGCTCAAGGCCAAGTGGCTGAAAGAGATTCCTTTAACTAAGGGGAAATTACTATTTTGGTACACCAGTAGTGTATAGTGAAAATCACTAGCCTGCCAGTCATTTTGATAATCTAGCCCTCATTAGAATGGCCTTGATCTCCCTCAGCAGGGGGAAAAAGGAATATTAATTAAGCCCCAGAGTGAAGTACAAACATTCTGCCCCCTTCATCTAGAGAATATTATGTGGTTTGTAGAGAGCAAAAGAAAGGAAATCCATTTCTCCAAGAGCTTCTGTTCTCAAAGAAGACTGCTAGCCTTGCCTATAACCTTATGGATTTAACCAATTTAATAGATTGCTTTTTCTTAGGCACTCTCAACAGTAGTTCTCTGAGTATATGTAGAAAATCCTAACTTCGCATTCTCTGAACGTCCATCAGTTAGAATGTCCAAGTATCTTTGAAAAAATGTAAGAATTAAGCTGACATATAAAGGGAGTACATGTTTTAGTATCAGTATATTCTGTGATCCCTTTTCTAATATTTCACCAAATAAATGCAGGTGTGTCGCTGGTGCGCTGTTGTCCGAACAGTACTATATGGCACACTTAATATTGAATTCCAGCTACTGTGCTCTGCAAGTGAGAAACCAGTGTGGTTGATCTATGGCATGAAAATTTTTTAAATGTTATAAAAACAGATTTTATAGATATTGGACTTCATCTACGCACTTCTGCAAAAGCATTTATAGTTGATGCTGTAATATTAATAAAAGGCTATGATCGTAACACTGGCAGCAATTATAGGAAAACCTAATGAACCCATCTATCTTAGTGTTAGTCAAATAGCATTCAGCAATGTACTGAGTTATGAGCTATTTCAAACTGTAGCAGATTTGATGGTCCCTTTTTCCTGTCCAAATCAGTAAAAGCTACCATTTCATCTCTATAAACTTCCAGATGATTATTAGTTTATTCATAGATGGTGGGCACCCAAGCTTTTCTGGAATATTTGCATTTTTAGTGTCTAACATGGGTGCATATCTGCATGGAGCATGCATGTGCATGCATGCATGCGCATGCACATACACACATGAACATACTACATTTGCTTCCTGCATTAGAAAGAAATACTTGATGTTTACTCCCACATGGCAAATAGCTATTTATATTTTTCATCTGCTTACTTTTCATTCTGAGCCATGCAGTTCCATGAAAGGGAAATGATTTCTGCATTTATAGAAAACTGCCACCCAACAGTCTGTGTAGATCACAAATTATTTGTCCCATTGCAATCTTCCCTGACAACAAGGTAATTGCCTCAGTGATATAAAATTCAGGAAATGGCTTTCCATGCACACATTTTTATAATGCATAAAACAGAAAATGCAGTGTGCTTGTTGCACAGAAAATCATATTGGGTGCAAAACACTGAAGCATCAATATTGCTTTGACTGCATAACTTGTTTTATGCTATGAAAACACAGGAATTCATTTGCAGTGTCACAAAAAAAAAAACAAAGTGGAAGTTTTTGCTTTCCAGAGGCGAGGGGAGATGCTGATTTACAGGGGAAAGATGGCAGGACACATACTTTGCATGCTCAAGGCCCATATTGAGTTTACCGCCTCTCCAGTTACATGCTACAAATTAGACCACAGCTGACAGGGGAAATTATTGCCTGAGTCCCTCCTGTCAAAAATGAAAATGTTGGGCTTAAACAAGTAAAGTAAGTACATGCCATCAAGCCGATTCTGACTTATGGCAACCCTTCCCAGTATTTTCTCTTGTTATGTGTTGTCAAATCAGAACTGAACTTAACGGCAACTGTATTAGGGCTTTTAAGGTAAGTGAGATATTTAAGAAATGGTTTTATAAGTTCCACTCACCCAGTGAGTTTTCAAGTCCAGGTGAGGATTTGAAGCTTGGTTTCCAGAATCCTAGTCTGTCATTCTACACCATACTGGGTATCATCCCAGGATTTTCTAGGTACTCAGAAATAGTTTACCATCCTCATCTTTTCAAGGTTTTCCTGAGGCTGTGCAGCTTGCCCAAGGCCATCCAGGATGGCTCTCCTCCCAGGAGGCACATCCCACACTCTAACTCCGTACTTTTGGCTCTGTAGCCAGCTAGTCAACTTGCTGAGCTATCTAGCCATCTAACCGTATACAGGGATTTATTTTTCTTCCCAGCCCACTGGTTAATGGCATTTCGACATATTAATAATGCACAACACAACAAATCGCTTGTGTGATGAAAGCCACAAGAACAATTCCTGAAACTATCTGCTGAGAAAGGAATGAGTTCCTTTTTGCAATCTGAATTCTGATTACATCAATGAGAGTTTCTTAGAATTGTTTCATCTTGCAGTTATTTTATAATGACCCACTCTGAGTTTATTTTCTTTTGATCTCTTCACTCATATTCTGTCCATCAGACTGCTGAACATTTTGATAGTTGTTTAGAAACATCCAATGCCTGACGGCTGCTTTACACGGCCAAGCTTATCTTTCTGGCCCTGACAATGATATTGGGTAAGATGAGAAGATGTAAAGAAATACCATGGAAATAATTTCCTGAGCTGTATTTTTCTTTTCTTTTCTTTTCTTTTTTCTCCCCGATAGTCAAGACAACCGTGACGTTTTATCCTCAGCAATAACAGACACTAAGGAGAAAGTATTTGACAAATTCTGTCCTAGTATTTTTGATAGATACAAGCTGTTACAGCTGAAGTTTATTCCTTCAATCTCTTGTCTTCCTGCAGAACCCAGCACAGCTCCAACTGATATCAAGGCTGCAGGACTGTCTGTATCAGAGATTCTTGTGTCGTGGAGACATAGTAAAGAAAGTCTGGGAAGACCGCAGGGATTTGAGGTATTAATACAGAATATAATATGATGTGTCAGAGATATGGGGAATCTCTTCTTCTTTTTTAACAAATGAAAATCACACACTACAACTTGTGTCAGAAATTTAATCCTTGTAACATATGAGTAACAAATGATTTAGAAGATGTTGGATCATGCAAAGGTTAGTGTGGACTGGCATTACTTTGGATTCTCCTCCATGTTTTGTCCATAATCACCACTATCTTTGACTCTTCTTTATGTCTGCATGGAGTTCACTGCTCCATTTTTTAAAAAAAGCTGACTTCCTTTGCAGTTTCTAGACAAGCAAATTGATGGAAAAACTGAAATACAGGGGCAATCACCACTGCTATCTGTCCTCCAGCAAACCACCTGTCATCAGAGCATTTGTTTTTGCTGAGGCTTTCAGGAACTCTAAGGCAGCTGTTTAACTTCGAGCCCACATGAGCTTTTGTGAAGAAGCTTTGCTTCCTTTACGAGGCCCTGAGCTTTTTAAAAATGTATCTTGTTTTGCAGATTTTGGGCAGTGTCCTGTTTTGAGGAAACCTGTATAAGAAATAGTCCATTCCACACATTGGGTGAAACAACACTGGAAAAATGTTGGAAATACCTGTGGGTTTGGAGTGAGCAGATTCTCTCTCTTTTTTCCCCCTCACCATTCACCATATGATGCAAAGGCAAATGTGAACCAGAATTTTGCTCCTCCCAATCCATAGGTTTTTTTTCTGTCTGCTGCTGGGGCTTCTATTTTTTGAAAAACAGATCCATTCACATCAATTTAGAATGTGATTGATTGAACTCATGCAAAAAAGCCACCATGCCAGTACACACTCAGAGAACAGCAAAAGAAGTATCAGCAAGATATTTTGTGGTTTTTTAAAAGTTAGAAGTGAACACAATCTCTCTCTTTTTTAAAAACAAGTTACATAAATTTATTTATTTAAAATAGTTTCATCCCACCTTTCTCCTTAAAAAAAACCAAAGGTGGCTAAAGAGCAGAAAAGCTAATGAGAGGAGGAAGCCTTTGTTACACCTTATTAAGCATTTCCCTTTTAACCGTGCCACCTGCAGGGCTATAAATAGGGTTGCAAACAAGCTGCAAACAAGGCTTTTCTTTTATTAATGTGGATAGACCTGGGAAAACCTATATTCTCAGGTAGGACTTCACAGCTAATTCATGTGAGTGAAATCACATGTCCCTCACTGTGTAATTGTACCCATGGTTACCTGCTTTTAATGCTACTCATGAAAGGGGTGATCTAGTAACCCCATCTGCAAGTGTAAAGCCCCATTGTTTGCAACAGGGCAATCTCCAGCTTGTATAGCTATACAGGGTGAATGTTAAGTGCTGTACACATTGGAACCCTTATACTCCACATCTTTAAACAGAATACTAAGGTTTCGAAATGGTTGTCCTGGATGAAAAATGAAAGGAGCTGCAGGTCAAATGGGCACTTTCCCAAATTCTGGTATCTGGCAGAACGCTTCCTTCCAACTAAATCTGCCTCTCCTGTAAGGTCTTCTCAGGCCAGGTAGTTGAGAGTTCTGACCCCGAGAGAGGCCCAGAAAATGACAACCAGAATTTGGACCTTCTTGGTGGTTACTCTGTAACTTTGGAATAGTCTCCCACCTGAAATTCGCCTGGCCCCTTTATTGGGAACTCTCAAAAGATTATTTAAAACATGGCTATTTAGACAGGTCATCACAAACTCTGGAACATCCTGATACAGTGGTGCTTTTAATAACTATACATTCAACCCTTTGCCAGGCCTTTATTACTTTAATGTATTTTATTTTCATTATTTTCACATTTTGTTGTAAGTTGTTATTGATTAAACTGCCCAGAGTGGCCTTGGTAGCCAGATGGGTGGTATTTAAATAAATAAATAAATAAATAATAAATAAATAAATAAATAAATAAATAAATAAATAAATAGATAGATAGATAGATAAATAAATTTAAGATCAGCAGGCTGGGCACAGGCAAAACTTGCCGTTTCCCAGAAATGGGAAAAATATCTCCCTGTGAGTCAGTGGTTTTGATGTGATTTTCCTCTTCATTTCTCACATACCAATAACCTAAATTAAATGACTGCACAAACAACATATATGCAAACCCCAAGAGAGAGGTTTTGGATGGAAAGATTGCTTCTGTTCCTACTTTTGCACTCTTGGTTTGAGGAAAAGACCTCACAAAAGTGAAAAGAGCAATTCCCAGCAATTCTAGTCCAAATACTTTCTCTGTCTGACATTCTGGACATTCGCTGCCATTCAGAATGAACAATACTGGGCTAGATGGGCAGATGATCTATGTTGGCTGAAGACCACTTCCTATGCAGTGACACAAACTCTAGTGCCTCCCCATTGTTTAATGTAACCATCCAAATTACAGTGGTGACCAACTGTGTGTCCAAACAGCCTATGAGATCTCTTATAAGGCTCTGGATTTTGCATGTACTACCACAGTTCTCTTCAGAGGAGTGCAAACTTGTGTGGCAGATGCATTAGCCAAGTAATACTACATTACTGGGGGAAGGTAGACATCCCAGCTCACAGACTGCCAAAAATACACCAGCCTGCCAGCTTGTTGCAGGCAGAGAGGGATCTGAAAAGGACAGGCTCTTATATGTTTGTCTTCCCACTTGCCTTTCTGTTGGGCATCTCCAAGAGGAACCTCCTTTCACCTTCATTCTTCAGGTGTTTTGAGAAAAAGGAGGGGTTGGGACTGGTGGATCTAAAGCCAATTCTAGAATATCATGCTTTGGCCCACTCTGCCATTAGAGCAGCCATGAAGGAGGAACCATGGCTGCGGATCTTTCTGCCAACATTCAAGGGAGACTTCTAATAGCAAACTGTCTGCCCACAGAGACTGCCATCATAATCTGTGGCCGCACAGGCACCAATCCAAAGACCACTGTTACCCTGGATTGTTCCCCCAATACACTTTATGAAAACTGGAGACTTCAAACTTTTAAAGCCAAGTGAAATAAAATAAAACTGAGCTGGTTTTCTTCCTGCTTCACGAGATGTTACCAACCTTAGCAAAGATATGCTGCCCCCCTCCCGCAAGTTCAAAAATAACCCAGACATCACGGCCACCTCCTCACTTGTGAGATACTTTATGTTGGTGTCAACAAGAGGTTTGCATTTGCAAAAAGAACATTTACATAAATGGTGCCATCACATGTGTTGCACAAATTGTGGAACTAAATCTGTATGACCATGTTGGCTAGGGATTCTGGGAACTGTAGTCCCTGCATGAAGGGACTACATAAAGAAAGCAGACCGCCGAAGAATTGATGCCTTTGAATTGTGGTGCTGGAGGAGGCTCTTGAGAATCCCCTGGACTGCAAGGAGAACAAACCTATCCGTTCTAAAGGAAATCAACCCTGAGTGCTCACTGGAAGGACAGATCCTGAAGCTGAGGCTCCAGTACTTTGGCCATCGGATGAGAAGAGAAGACTCCTTGGAAAAGACCTTGATGTTAGGAAAGTGCGACGGCAAGAGGAGAAGGGGACGACCGAGGATGAGATGGCTGGACAGTGTCACCGAAGTGACCAACATGAATTTGACCCAACTCCGGGAGGCAGTGGAAGATAGGAGGGCCTGGCGTGCTCTGGTCCATGGGGTCACGAAGAGTCGGACACGACTAAACGACTAAACGAACGAACGTAGTCCCTAAAGGAACTTTTCTGAGCTATGTCTTAACAAATTTTCACATGGTCAAAACTGGCCTCAAGTGAAGTGAACACATAATTGAGTCATACATGAAATTCAGGTCTCAAATTTGTTTCTTCCCCTGTCCTTGGCATATATACATATCCCCTTCATATATTTAGACATATGCAAATTGTTGCTTATCTCATTCTGACTTATAAGAAACTGTAAAATGCATATGTTCTCCGCCTGTGAGATAGTGAGATCTTTCCTGCTGTTATCATCAAAGTTTCCATATCCCCTTCATATATTTAGACATATGCAAATTGTTGCATATGTTCTCCGCCTGTGAAATAGTGAGATGTTTCCTGCTGTTATCATCAAAATTTCTGTATTTGCAAGAACAATCTTTATGCCAGTTGCAAAAATTGCACAGATTGTGGAACTAAGCTGTGGAAACTACTACCTTGTTGCATGGACTGTTGAAATTAGAGGCATCAGATGCATATATTTAGACATATGCAAATTGTTGCATATGTTCTCCGCCTGTGAAATAGTGAGATGTTTCCTGCTGTTATCATCAAAATTTCTGTATTTGCAAGAACAATCTTTATGCCAGTTGCAAAAATTGCACAGATTGTGGAACTAAGCTGTGGAAACTACTACCTTGTTGCATGGACTGTTGAAATTAGAGGCATCAGATGGGTTTTTGGTATCATTCTGAGCAATCAGTCACTCTTTGTGTGCCTGTTGTTTGCATACGCCTTGCTTCACAAAAACAAAAATGCACTTGTTTTCTGCTAATTATATTTTCCACAAAATTAAGAAATCTCAAATAGAAAAACCATTCCTTAGCTTGTTCTTATGCTGGGGGCAGGAAATATCAGAAAACCTAAGGAAATCTCCCCAACATGCTCTGACTGGCTGATGTGCCAAGACAGCCCGTCTCACTCAGAACAAGTAATTCAATTTTCTTCACATCCATAACATACTAATGCACACCTAATTCTGGGTAGTCTCCTCAGGGAATGACCCAAATTATATACACATGTCTAAATATTTGTGGCACAGCTGCATTCACAGAAATGTAAAATCCTAAAGACAGCTGTTCTCCAACATTACACAAGTACAGGGGATACAAGAGAACAGGCGAATTAACTTCAAAATTTTGCACCAGATGAAATCCTGGAACATTTTCCAGTCATGACTGACAGTGCAGACTCAAAGATAAGCCAGCTGTCATGGATTTGGAATGAGCAGAAACCCCTTTTGCTGGCACATCTTCCCTTACGTTAGCCATTCTCAGATCTGCTGGCACAATCATCCAGCAGAAGAGCTGAAAAAAGCAGA